TAGTAGTCCTCTGTGGATTTACCTGTTAGTATAGTATAGTAGTCCTCTGTGGATTTACCTGGCAATGGCAGCTGTGTTGATGGCACGGACAATAACTTCATATTTTTAGGTTAACAAAAATGTACCGGAATTCATGAATATGTAGGATATTTGTAGAGACATTCATGTAATGTTATGTCGCAATACTATTTTCTGGAAGCTATTTGTCTAGCCATCATTGCAACTAGCTGATCTGACCAGCTGGAAGGTGGCGGGTGGACCTCTGATGGTTGACCAGCCCGGTCAAGTAGCTTTCTAGCTAATGAAGTGCTGCCAGGTTGGTTAAAAAATAGCATTATTATCCAGAAAAGGAAAAAGGAACTTCACACTTTTGTCAATCCACACAAGCAAATTTTTACCAATATATTCTTTCCTAAAGCCGCCCAATAGGGTGGACAATTGCCCAATCTGGCAGCATTTCTTGGATGTAAAATCTTATGCCCCGTATCTAGTCATTTTCAACGTGCGGTGTCAACCAATCAGTGGTCAAAAGGGGGCTCTTCCATTAGTCATCGCACATTCCTGTAATACTCTGTGATTCATGTGCCCTTACTGGACCACACGCCACTGGTTTTTCACCAACTTAATATTCACCAAAAATATCTGGCTCCAATTCAATAATATATCAGAGAAATATTGATTAATACTTCGTTAATATTTGGCTTTTAAAGCACCCTGATGTTTTTGGTTTCTTATATTCAGTTACTGTGTTGATGTTGCAGATGTGCATATGTTATTCAAATCATTAGGTTCAATAAAAATCTAATTTTTTCAGTGTTGAGCTGTGCACTGGCTGATGGGAATAAAAGTCAGTGGTGCAACAGCCCTCTACATCCAGTAGATGGAGACACCTAATTGATGATGTCCGCAGTGTACACCCTGTGTGCTGCATGCAAGCTGCAACATAATGTCATAATGAATTAATACATGTCACCTCTCAGGGCTTGGTGCCTTGCCCCCCCCCTTCCAACCTCACCTTAAATGCACACAGCGTTGCATATCCAAAAGTAGGACTTTCAACATATTGTAGTGTTGCACTGCTTCTGTTTGGGTTGGATCATAACCATTTAAGCTATGTTCAGAAATATTTATCAATACAAACTCCAGCTGCAAAGGAAGAGTCTCGTCACATGGATCGCTCCGGGTTAGCATGCTTGCTAGAAACGGACGACAGAACGTTTGTGCGGATGCTATTACAAAACTTTTCTCTTCCAAAATTTGACTTCGCATCTCATGTTTGTGATAATTAATTGCAGAGTTCATATAGTTTAGTTTTAGAGTGATGTAAATGAATAACCCCCAAAAAGCCTAATCATTTTTCAAAACTTAATCGGGATAAATGTCCATATATGGTAAAGGTGGTTTTGCTAACAACTTAGAAAAAATGTCTGATAAATATTGGCACGCTATTGTAAATCTGTTAAGGTTATTCTACATCAGCTTTGTAAATGATTGAACGTAAACACAGTCAATAATCTGGGTTATACTGATAACATTGATTCAATGAAGGTATATTTGACAAGCCTCAGTCCAATCACAGAGTCAGCGGCGGGTTATGGAAAAAAACAATTTCTATTTTATTTTATTAATTCGTCCTTGAAGAGGAACGCCACCAACATGAAGAGTTATAATATGTTATTTCTGTGACGGAGGAAAGTTCAGTCAATATTTGTGAACATGAGCTGCTCTCTCTCAAAGCCAGAAACCAGAGAAGGGAAGTCTCAAACTTGTGAACAGGTGAAAACTCTCGAGCTGCTCCATTGAAATTTGTGAAAGTTTGTTTTCTTTGTTATTCTGTCGTAGTGTTCTCAGTTCTGGAACAGAAAATGTTCCCAGACACTCACAGTCAATCACAAATTTGAGCTTTAATAATATAGTTTTTTGATTTGGGACAGAGTTGTTCATGTTTACTAATATTTTTGAACTGCCTTAGACCATAATTGCAAGTCAACATTTTGAAAAATGGGCCTATAGTTCCCCTTTCGATTTGTTTCATCTTTATGTTCTAAAAAATTATGAATTGATTTTTCTTGTTCGTGCCCAAAGGAAATAAGAAAAGCAAAAACAAATAGTGTTATGGGCTCATCTACATCCATATCTGTCCAAAATGTTAGAACTTCATAATTTTATCTCATGAGACATTTGTGTGAAATTCTCATAATTAGCATATGAAGTCTTAAGTTATGGCCCAAAACGTGTTTTGATGAGGTAAATCGAATCAGTTGAGTGCCGAATTTGCTAAAAACAAACGTTCTCAGACACACTATTATTGATCGCCGCCTTTAGCCCGCCTTATGATGTGAATTGGCTTTGGTAGCTTTTGCGACTGCAGCAGCAGATCACACTCAACAGCTGCTGGGTCAACCTGTAGCTTCAGTTGACACAGAAACAGCTGTTCGTTGCAGAGTTGTGCAGTGAGTGAGTGAGCAAACGTTTGCAAAGGTTGTGGTGAGGTGGAGGACTGCACCTCCTTCGTTTCTCAGCACAGCGATGCGAACCACATCCTCTCCTCTGCTGCTCCGCGGGCTCTCATGTTCCTGGTCGACAACAGGCCTCCCGCCTTCTTCTTCTGCACATGAGATGAGGACGCTGGTTTCCTGTTGTGACATTGGCTGTGGTCGACTCACATGCGAACATTCACTTCTTCACTTAAAAGGAGTAAGTTTAGCCTTCAACTAAAAGGAGTAATTGAAATAATGGAAAGAGACTTAAATCCACTGAAGTTCATATTATTACTAAAGATGTTGAAATAAATTCACAAAGGTATTTCACTTAATGCTGCTTTTTAAATGCCATCATAGAGGCTTTAATCAACTTCCTACCAAATGACCCAGTTTGTATGAATGTATGAAACCCGTGTCAAGGTTGAGTTCTCAGAAAATAACAGATAAGCGAGCTGTTAAAAATACTCTGCCATGCCATGTCAGCTCAGATATGTAGGCAGTGCGTTGTTGTCTTCATGAATTTATGGAAACTGACATAACTTGCATGTTGACTGCTGATCTGACAGGTGGGACGATTAGTGTACGTTGTGCTGGTGCTAACTTTTGGTTTCACTTCCTAGAAATAATGATGCCATGTGCTGTATCTCCTCTTGAAAAACCTTTATTGGGAATAGAATTCAGCTTAAAGCAGTTCTCAGGCACTTACACAAACAGACAGCATTGTTAAGTAGAATACCAAATGCTTTTAAAATGCTCTGATTTGTGCAGAACTGATGGTGCATCGAGAGTAAAAGAAACAACAAAAACTTCAAAATATGTCTTCACTGAAATGAGGAGAATCTGCTGGTTTGTGCAGCTCAGCTCTCAGTCGTCCTGTTTTCCAGAGGAAACCTGTGCAGCAGACAGAGAACACATTTTAAGAGGTTTACATAAAAAATACATAATACTATAATAATTCATAAACACATTCGTAAACACATACACCTAGTTCGCTTAAACCCCTTTCAGACATGCACCTTGTTAGGTAAATATGATATTGCATGAGACCTCGAGTCACTTTTACATAAACGTGGGGAACATTTCTGTTACACTTCCATTACGGCACAAGTCTGAATTGAATGTCATCAGCAAAGAGAAAGGAATTTAATGCCGGTCTGGTTCTTAAAAGCAATCTAATTAATTGACCACTTGCTTATTAACAAATCATCTCTTTTGCACAAAGAAATGTTGAATAAACTACAAAACACCATGAATGGGCTTCCCCCCAGTCAGACCAGCACCGCCTCGCTACATTTTTCACTTTCATCCCTTTCAACTGCATGACATTATAAATATCCAGCATAACAAATTTGTCCCCAAAATGATATCGTGATGGGAGATTTAAGTGTAGCCTGAATTATTTTCATAAGTAACACGTGGGAGCAAAGAAACCGCTACATTTATGCCTCAAAAGCTGGTCGTCATGGTGGATGGCGGGCGCACAAAGGACAGGACATTAACAACGGAGACCAGGGTTCACATCTGTCCTGAGTGTCCTGAAGCCTTAGCTGACATTTATACTATGGACCACTTTCATCTGACAAATAGGCATCACTTTAACAGCAGTGTTCAATGTCTGATATGGGATTTAATGCACCGTCTGGCCGTGAGCACTTTTAATGCACCGTCTGGCCATGAGCACTTTAATTTGAAATTCACAGAGCCATTTCTTATGGTGAGTACATTACTTCCACTGGGATTTCTTTGGTACATCACAGTGACTCGAGTTGGACGCACCTGAAGCCCCCACACCATGAACCCCACAAAGACTCCAAAGATGCCGCTCTTGACTATCAGAACAACGTAGGACAGCTTGGCAGTGTGGGTGATCCTCAAATACTTCTCTGCAAAATAATGCATCATTTTAGCGAATGGCACGTCTTGTTGTTTTTGATACTTTAAACCGTGTAGGTCCAAACTAAATTATATTTACCTCTTATCGCTGCAGCTCCTGGTCCTGACAAGAAAAAAAGAAAAGAAATATAGTTGGGTTTTTTTCAGTGCAATTATTAAAAAGATACATATTATTCTGAGTTGCATACCGCTGACGCCTTCGACCCAATTTGAACGGTGCACGGTCTCGTTCCCGTTGAAGAAGCTGACGGTGCAGGTGAACTCCTTGCCCGTTGTAAACCACTCACTGAGCGGGACCCTCAGCCTGCTGGTGAGGCTGTAATGTTCCCCTCCCCACAGGGGCACGTTGTCAGTCGACACGCCGTCCGTGACGTTCACCCCGTCGACCTGCCAAAACACGCTCACGTGGTCCGGGTAGAAACGAGAGGCCACGCACACCAAGGTCTTCTTCTTTCTCTTGTCTTTGTTGTTCTGACACTCGTTCGGCGAAGGCAGAAGCACTTTCACCGCTGGCGGGGTGACGGCACGGTTTGGATCTGCGGAAACAAAAAGAGAATGGTTCCACATTTTGGGAAATACACTTACTCTCTTTCTTGTCAGGAGTTGACAAGATTGAGGAAATTGATACCGCTCTGATGTCAGTACAATAAATACGTAGCTAGAGCCAGCAGCCGGTTAGCATTAGCTTAGCATAAAGACTGGAAACTGGAGCAAATAGCGAGCCGCAATCTTTATAAAGTTATGCATACCTACCCAACAGCACATTTAAAATTCACAAATTAACATGTTGTATCTCATTTGTTTAAGACATATCTTGTAAAAATCGAACAATCGATTAATGATATGTTAACAAGTGAGCTTTAGAGGTCCTGGTAGATGTATTTTGTTAACTTCAGACAGAGCCAAGCTAGCTAAAGAAGCTAGTTTGCCCCTGATTCCAGTCCGTTGCTGCTGATTTACCCTACAGACATAAGAGTGGCATCATCTCTCTAACTTTTGGCAAGTAAGCAAATAAGTAAATCGTTTTTAAAGCTACCTATCAACTTTCTGGATATACTTTGACCCTTTAATACCAGAATTATACATGGACAGTGAGGAGGATGTAGCAGGATTTTCGCAGGTCTTACACGTTACATTAATCACATTTAGAGCCCTTATCATTCTATTTCGTTAGTCTTTTATTGTCTTACAAAGAACTGTTGGCCTGGTCCCCTTTCCGAGATAAGTAGTTTAAGTGGAGCGCAACACAAAATCGGCATCTAATTCATCTCATTTTACTCCATGTATGCCATTCATTTTTTTCTCCTTGGTTTTGTTTCAGTTACTTTGTGTTTGCTTTATTTAACTTTTTCCTCATTTGACTAAAAAAGAAAAAGAAAGGGACATCCTCTAAATTTCAAATTCACAACTTTGGGTTTTACAATGTCCGGGGTCCATCAAACTACAAAGTTTATTTATTTTGCTTAGACATTCAAATTATAATATTGCCTGTTAATGTTATTTTCCTACCTCAATTTGGTGCCTCTACCAGAGTATGCAGGGTTGCAGCTGGTCACCTTGACACACAACTAAAAACCGTTCACATTGTCCAACAGCTGTCTTCGATTGACTGATAAATAGGTTAGTCCATAAAATGTCAGAAAATGCTGAAAAGTGTCTGGAAATGTCCCCAAAATCCAGGCTCAAATTTCAACATAATAGAACAATATTTGAAGAATTAGTTTGATCTTAGAGTACAAGGTGAAAACACTTCAAACGAACCTTGTAGATAAACCAGCTAACTTTGAATTATACATTATGAAATATTACATAATCTGTTTTTTGAATTCTATATAATTTTACTTCTTTTTTAAATTTTTTACTTTACTTAAGAGAGTAAATTTAGTCTCAGTCCCAAAGTAAACATCTCTGACAGTACCAGAGCTGATAAGAACTCACATTGAGAGCATTCATTTGGGCAAAGAGCCAATTCTTTTTATTCCTGCATCAGTTTGCTGAAGAGCAGGTTAGGACGAAACAAAACTTAACTTACTGCTTACTGCCATAACTGCTTTTATCGTTTAGAGGGAGAATACTACACCAAATAAAATCACCGAAAAGCTACATATTGCCCATTCTCTCATATAAACAAGCTGTAAAAGACGCACCATTTGATTCGTTGATGCTGATTTTCTTACCTAAGACGGTCAGTTTAGTTCCAGCTCCAAAGCGAGCGGCGGCGAATGAACACAGAGCTCTCCGACTGTGACAAAAAGGTATCTTACTGCTTTTGTCTCTGTGTTCCTTTTTGCAATTTGGCCGGTGAACCTCCTGTGTCATTCTCCACCAAAATTGTCTCATGCTTCATGTCTCACATGTTTTTGCGATTCGCTTTGTATTCTGAGAATCTTAAGATGTTTCCTTTGACCCAAAGTAAAAAATCTAACTGAAACATTTTGCTAAAATGGTCATCTTGATTTTTTCGACAGGAACAGTGTCAGTCAAATTATTCCCAAGTCAGGTAAATTCATTTGGTCGGACAGTTTTTCTTTCATTTTCAAACAAGGACATTTTTTTTCGTTTTCTCACCAACTTACCTAGAACAGTGAGTTTAGCTCCTTATCCAGATAAACCTTTAGTGCCACTTTCACTGCATCCTCCATCAAAAAGTAACAAAACTGCCCATAACAGCCTAACAATACATGACATGACTGTACTTTCAGCATAGAAATGAGAAATGAGCTTTACAACATCTCAGTTTGCTGTTTTTATGTGGCGAAAACCCAAATTCTGTGTATTGTTTTTTAAAATTGAATTCCAAAAAAGTTTCCTCGCTGAACTTTAGTTTTTGACAATGTCAAAATAGAATAGAAAAGAAAATTGAGGGTCCGAAATAACTTGCAGCGCTCCACACTGTGCATATTAAAGGGAGAAGGTTTTGGTACAGCTGCTGTATTGGATTGTATCACCGTGCCCCCTGTCCCACAGTGAAAAAGCATTACTCCAAAACCTGACTTCCCTCTGCTTGCTTTCGTCTTTCTTTCCCCCACTCAGCCTCTCCGTATCTCAGCCTCCATCTTCCTGCGTTTGCCTGTGAGAGCAGCTGTGCAGGTCGGCCCCTCTGAATAGCCCAGGCTATTTCTGAGACGGCTAAGAAAAGAAACCATCAGGAAAAGAAGACTTTGTGTTTCCATGCAGTAGCTGCACAGAGGAAGTGACGTCTTTACTGATCACACCTCTTTATCCAACCCAGTTTTAACTGATATCATTTTCTTTATTGACCAGAAGCAGCTTAAGCATGATTGTCAAATTGTTTATTGTGGCTACGTTGGTCTGTCAAATATGAAGTCCAACAATTTAGTAGAAGATCATTGGTGATTTCCATAAGTCCTTCACCTTTCTTCTAATGCCAACCTTAACCTGCACTGGTTATCCCCCCCCCACCTGTTTTGCTGCAGTCCTGCTGTGCTGTAATTGGCTTGTATTCATTACTTCTGATTGGATGCTAACTGTGGTTGCGGCAAGTTCCACCCTACTGTGCTGTGAGTGTAGATATCACTGGGACGAGCTACTGGAGTGGAGATTTCTGGCTCAGAGACAAAGACCAAAACAATGTGAGAATATGGCCTTTAAAGATTCCGAAGACACTACAGATGAATACAGGGTAAAACAAGTTGAATTGATAGTTAGATACCAGCATTGAACTTACAATGTATAATAATGGGTTCCTCTAACTAACAAACAACTGGGTAACAAATAGCTTTATTGATGTTAATAAACCTTTTTCTAATGCCAATTATATGTTTATATACTTAAAGATATGATTCAGCAGACCTAAATTACAGTTTTTAATCCAGAAAATGTCAGAAAATGTTGAAAAACATAATTTCCCAAAATGCAAAGTGACAATGAGTCCAAAACCCCAAAATAGGCAATTTTTGTGTTAATTAAGCTGATATTAACCACAGAAAAACAGCAAGTCCTTGCATTTAAGAAAGTAGAACCAACACACCAACCCTAACCCTTTTGAATGACAGGTGCTGACCTGTGCATTACCTTGCACTATTAAAAATGCCAGTCAGAGAGCTTGGTGAGGGCAGTTGTAAAGAATCCCTATCCCAAAACGTCTTACTGCTGGAGCACCCCTGGATCCTATTTCCTTAACTTACAGGTTACACACACCCCAACCATTCATCTTGAATGGCTAACCCTGACCATCTTTGTCTCCACTATACCTTCGATTCTACCCCTTTGACAAAGTGGTTCATTCTAGACTTTTTGATCCTCGATGAGTCTGTCCTAACCCCAAACCTATCAGCTTGGATGCCTAAATCCAGTCAGATTCACCTTGTACAACCTAAAAAATGTTATAGTGCAACTACACCCCGAGGTCCGATACAAAGTCTACCACTGCATAATTGTGGGCAAAAAAGTATGACAAATATGACAGCTACAATAGCTTGGAAAAGTAGTGACATGGCATGGGGCAGTGAATATACTGTTTGTTTGAACAAAAATGAGACAAGAATTACGCCGCTGGGAAAATAACTCGCTGGCCAGCTTCAAGACGGACCATCGCGGCTGTAGTAACTCAAATTAAGCCAACCGATATTATATATTATATGTTATATTATCTTTATACCTGAAAAAATTGAAATGTTAAGAGCCGATCACACCAAGACGCGTCGCTAGAAACACGTCGCCCGCAAAACCATTGTTTTCCTACGGTACGCCGAGCGCTTCTCACTTGCGCCATGTTTTTCAGATGTTTTTTAGACATGCATATAAATTCAACTTTTCAGCTTTTTTTGCACACCTGTTGCGACACGTCTTGGTGTGATCGGCCCCTAATTGTGCAGTTACTCTTTAATAAAAAGTAGGAGAGTGGTACCAAATCAAATAAATAAATATCAAAGAAAGGCAAAAGTCCAAACTATAATATTAAGGACAATGTGGCTTTCTGAAAACTTTTAATCCATATGATGATGGGTATAATGAGATTAGGGTCATGTTGAATATCTTGAACCAGCCAAAACAAACTGTTGTGAAGTTTGCAGATGACAGTACCGTCATCGGTCGTATTACAAACATAGATGAGAGTCCATAAAGAGAGGAAGTAAACAATTTTGCAGAGTGGCGCTCAGAGAACAATCTACTGCTCAACATCAGTAAAACCAAGGAGCTGATTGTTGGTCTTAGAAAAAAAGGAGGCGAAGACACACACACACCTCTGTCTGCATCAATGGAGCTGAGGTGGAGCAAGTGAACAGTTTTGAGTTCTTGGGAACCAGCATCACAAAACCTGACATGGTCATCTCAAATCTCCATCCTGGAGAAGAAAGCGCATAGACGGCTGTATTTCTAAAGGAAACCTCAGAAGTAAAAATTCCTGTGCCAAGTTTTTGTCAACTTTTACAGAGGAGCAATAGAAAGCATTGCAAACTGGCATGGGATGTGCACGGCACAGGACAGGAGAGCTCTACAGTGGGGGATTAAAACCGGCCAGAACATCATTGGCGCCCATCTACTGATAATCAGTGATATTGGTGACAAGAGGTGCCTACGAAAAGCTCGAAGGATATTAAAAGTCAATACCCACCCATCCACAGCCTGTCCACTCTGCTACCATCTAGCAAGAGATACATAAGTATTACGCTGCCGAACCACCAGACTACAGCTTCTGTCCTCATTTCTTCATGATCAGAAGATTAACCGACTGTCTGCTGGAGAAGGATGAAAACTCCCCGCCATGTCTGTCCACCATTACCTCTTCATCTCCTCCCATCGTTTAGCTGACTCCTCTGTGCATCTGTTCATGTGGTTTGCAGCAGGTGTACAGGTGACATGTGGGTTTTTGTACGGGAATTTGGGGCTTTTCTACCATCGTGCGTCTGTAATGCTGCACAAAAGTAATGCCCACTGTCTTGGGGACGCCTCAGTTTGAGCAAATGAAGGAATGCCTCCTTCTCGCCATTTCCACTAATGTTAAAACTACCCTGGAAGGGTTTTTCGACAATTTGAACAATTGTGGAAGTTATAAAACCAACTAGCTTTAGAGAAGAGTCTCCCTGTGGGCGGTGATACCACAGAATGGTGTAATAGTCGTTGATGCTGTGTTTGCAGGACAGTTTGACTTTATCTTTTGTCTCCCCCAGCAGATCGGCTGGAGTCTGATGAACATCTTCACTTTTATTTGGAGATATTCCTGCAGGAAAGGAGCAAAAAATTATGAGTGTTAAAAAAAATGAAGCAATAAGATCAAACTTACAATGTTGAAGCAAAAATAAAGAACTTAATGTACCTTTGATCCAGAGTGAGATAATAATGGCAATCAAAGCGCTGTTCATGTTGAGAACTCTTCACTGTTTGTCAAGCGGGGAAATGGAAGTGATACGTTTCAAACGGCATCACATGAAGAAGAAGAGGAAAAGGTTTGACGTCAAAGGCAGATGTGGTATGCCAAGCATCACATTCACTTACTGCAAGTGTGGCGAGCAGAGGGGGTGTGGCTTAAAGTTTACGTAGCCCGAGAGTCCCCCTGAACTAAAATAGTGAACAATGTAAACATACTTCTCAAATATCAACATCTTGCTGTTGTCATTGTGCAGCCACGTCTCCAGAAAATGATGTTCTCATACAGCAAAACTGCATTGTGAATTACATTTTTGAGGGAAACCTGTGGAGATCTGGGTCTGGGTTGGGGTCAAGGTCATGGTCAGGATGCTGGTGGATGGTCAAAAAAGAGGAGACTGTTGTTTTGTGGTGTTATTTTGTTTTGTTTTGTAATTTTGTAATTAGGAATGCAGTTTAGTTGTATGGCAACGTAATTTAGTAAGAGACAGGGTTGCATAGTTAGCATGTAGCTCACTGCACCACTCTGCCTACTGTAAGTACAGGCTCACAGAGCATTACTGTTGACTATGTTACTTTGTTGCAAGGAACTACTCTGCCAATTGTCATTCAATCTTTTAATTTATCCTTTGATGATCCCACAAAAAACAAACATCAAAAACATGAATGCATTTTTATCAACGAAAGCTCCAGAACAGCTTCCGAGTGGACCTTAAGGTGAGATTGCTTTGTTTCCATTTGATTCTTGGGATACAATTTTTTGAAATTTGTTCTTGCAGGCATGAGAAACTTAACATAAACCACCATAACCACATTGTTAGGTCACATGTCACCCAGCCTCTCTGCAAGGAAGTAATAAAATCCCTCAATGTCATTTTGGTGCAGCTTGACAGGTATCTGCAACACTGTGTGAGCTGACAGCACAGAGATACACTCTGTTGTCTCCTGGTTGAGCATTTTTCACCGTGAAAGATCCGCTTTCAATCACCGTCTTGCTGGCCGAGTATTTGTCCTGGCTGAAGTTCCCAAAGTCAGGTTGCTTGTAAGGCACCGTGTGGACAATCAGCTTCATACTCTCCCCCGGTAGCTGCCGAAACCAGTACATGTGATGATAAGGACTCAGGGTGTGACTGCAGTCCATCTGAGCAGAGTGGTCCCTATCCACTAGTAAGCTTGGGGTCTATTGGACTCCACTCGTCCATGTTACACCTGGAATCAAACAAGGAAAAAAGGCTGAGATGTTAAAAAATGCATGTAAAATAATTATCTGCATATAAAGGATAGTAAACCATATGGGTTTTGAAGTATCACGCAGTTTAACAATCAACAAATAAAGCCCTCAAAGTAAAACTACCTGCAGTGCAGAGCAGAGAAACGGCGCAGATGACGAGAGGTGAGAGCATTTCGATCCACTCAACACAAAGACGTCTCTCACAGTGAGACAGTAGCTGATGGGATATGATCTCTCCTGTCACACTGGTAGGCATCATCAGACTGGTCAGCACTTTTCAGTTCACAGTTCTCAGGATGTAGTTACGATCAGTCTTTGGTGGACCCAAAAGCAGGCAAAGAGTAGAGTAAATGAAGGGTTTATTGTAGGGGCAATGACAATGGAAGGGCTGAGCTGATAAGGGTGAGGGCGAAAGCTCGCGTTATGGCACAATAACAATGGTGTATGAGAATACTTGATAACTTTTCATTGCAAAGGTCTTTAGACAAATTTGAAGTCAATGTGAAATTCCGTAGGAGTTTGTTTAAGTACAGCACTTGTAAAAGGCAAAAAATTGCCTAAAATTGCACATGTAATTCAAAATGGCCACCTTCCCGTTGGGTTTATGGTATACCTCCAAGAGGTTAATGATCCATGAGGTCTGTGCGATGAAGCACAACAGGACATCTTTTCGCTATCTGGTTTCGCTAAACTACTAACCCGCTAAAAGTCATACGACAGCGGCTATCAACTCGGTAAGTCAACCTAAAGCACGTTCACTTGAAAGGGGCGGTGCATATGTCCAATCACAAACATGGACGTGTGTGTGTAGGCCTACTGGCAGCAGAGCGGCATATTTTCTAAACAAAGTGCAAACTCTAATATTGCAGAAATACAAAAATAATTTACACACATAATCCAGGCTAAAAGCAACATAGTTGCAGCCACCAAATGCAGGAAGGACAAGCTGGCAGAAAATCGCGGAATGTGTGAATGTGCAAGTTACTGAGTTTGTAATATCATTGCCCATCTTAGGCACAGGTAGATGTGAGTATAATTACATCGGTGTATTCCGCTGAGCAAATTCTGGGAGCAAATAAAAATTACATAAAATAATAAAATTCAAAGCTGTAATTAAGCTTACTTTCATATCTTATAAGTACAACAAGTACAAGGCTTTAGTCACTTAGTCAGTCTTTGTAGTATGATGATATCATTATACAAGAGCTCTATGAATTAGCTTTGACATTGCTTAACATGAAATGAAGAAGACAGTAGGGGCCCTACTTAAACACTGATCTCCTGTTGCCAGTAGGTGGCGCTCTGGCGACAAGTTGGTATTGGCATGTAGTTGTTCTCATGTCTGGGCTCTAATGATGCAATAGCATGGCATAAAGATTCTTCGCCACACCAATTACGTTTCATTGCAAAAGTTTGTAGATTGTACTGACCAAATGTGAAGGTGAAAGGGTTAAATCTCTAGGCTTTCATACATGGGAACGTCACACAAAATTCGAAATAGCCGACTGTGAGCTGCCGGCTCAGGCGTTGGTAGAGAGCTGCTGAGACAAAATATCAGGTGAATATACAGTGAATATAGAATATATACTGTATATATATGAAATGAAACTGCAAAGTCTGGTGTATTTAAGTGCTACTAAAGTGGAGTCTGATAAAACCAACACATTTTGACATTTTCAAGACACTACAGGTGACTAGGATAAAAAACAAAACAACAACTAATAGATAACACCATGAAACGTCACCAGTTGACATGAAGACAATTTTTTGTCTTACAAGTTTTCTGAAATGTTTTGTTTAAATATGCAACTGAGGCATTATCTAAAGCTAACGTTTGGTGAATTCAGGATAAATCTAGAGCTACAAATGAACAAAGTGGTAAAATAAACTCCTAAATGTGTACTCAAGAGCAAATTTCAACAGCAGAACAATACAGGAGATTGAAGTTTAACTCAGAGTTTAAAAAGTGATCAAAAGCAACCAAGATGTTTGAACTGCATGCTTTTTCGACACGTTTGTCAGATGATCAACACCTGTTTCTGTAGATCCTTTACTATTCATTGGCCTTGTGAACTGAAAAACCTTTCTCAAATCAAATCATATCAGCTATTAAGACACACAATTTTTCTTCTTCAACTTTTTTTTTCATGTCATTTCCATACCAGTCCTGTTTTTGAGTAGGGCTACATTTTTTCAGATCTGTGGCAGTTCAAGAAGCTGACACACACAAGCAACCCTCCGATGAGAATCTATATCTCTCATAAAAAAAAGTAATTTAACAGCCAAAAAGTTTTGCTGGTGTTCGAACACACCTTCTATGAACGGTAATGCCATTTTCCACCACCACTGCGGTTGCAACAGCTATCTGGAGAGGAGCGTATGGAGAACCAGAGTAGGTATACTGTGGAGTTGATGGAAGGCCGCTGGTGTAGACCGGACAGGTGAGGTGAATGAACCATAATCAGGAGGAAGTCGATTTTGCTGTCGATTGCATTATAAAGTACCAACCACAGAAACAGGTGCTGAAAGGCAGTTAATGCCTTCAACAAAACCACCGATGATAAAGGACTGTGTTCAGCTGCAGAATGTCAAACTGAAAACAAGTTTTATCCCTATACTCTCAAACTACTTTTATATATTTGTATTGTCAATTTGCAATACTTGGTTATAAGGTTGGGTTTAACGTACTAACCAAAATGATCCAGTACAAAGTAGTATCAAAACGCCTCCAGTCAGACAATACCTGCGTTCGAAACACCCAGAGGGTCTTTGGGATACAGGTGCACAGCTTGGCATTTGTCTCCGGATATTCTGCAGGAAACAGGCAGTAGGAACTCATTTTATAAAAGGAGAAACAACATGCATTAAGATCACAAGGCTAAAATGTAGTAAACTAATAGACAACAGTTTGATTGTGTTTGATGGTGCAACACAAGATCATTTGTTGAGTTTTAACACCACCTGCAGGAAAGATCTTAAAATCAAGATATGAATCCTAATACGCAGTGTGATACCAAAGCAACCAAGGTAACTCCTGCTGATTGCAGGCTGTCACGTGACAAACTAGCTGTGAACTCAGGGCAGAAGATAGAAAAACAAAAGAAATAGGAAAGGCAGCACAGAAGTATGTGAACAGAATCAAAAGAATTCATGCCATTACCTGAAACCAGGACAGTCTTATCCTCATCTGATCCTCATATTCCACCTCTACTACTGGGTCCATACAATACAAATATACAGTTATTGGTTCTAAAAGTAAAAAAAAGCCAACTACTAACTGACAGCAGGGCAAGAATATACACAATTCAAAAAAATTGGTGAAACTCTGAGAGCATGTCCCCTGATCAGAGCATTTCATGAGAATTTCAACAAATATAACAAAAATAAAATACAAAGATGCTCCTAAAATAAATTGCCTATCCTAGCTCTAATGGTGATTCATAAATGTGCTTCAGCTTATTTTTTCACGGCTCACACAGCACCGCTAACTTTATCAATCACGTAAACCCTCCAACACGGCACTTGTATCTAACGGACATCCAGCCAACTTTCAGTGCCTTTTATATCCATTTCCTTTTAATCAAACTGCAAACACAGCCTCCTCTTAATAATTCTAATATTTAGTTTTCCTGTGGGGGAATATTAAGGGGAGCTTCCAGTTTTGCTGCTTGCATCCAGTTATGGTCCCAGGTGGTGCAGGAGCATTATTTTTGCATGGAAGCGCACCCCGATGTACTTTGTGATTACTTTAGTATACACAAAACCCAAGTGACAGCAACGAAGGAGAAATATTTAATTGTTCTATATGTTACAGTATTAGTTGCGGCCTCATTGCACAGTTATCTGCCCAAACTGACATCTGACGTCATATTTGACATCGAAAAAAACAGTCTTTTGCACATGGCTATTTAGAATTACAAATGGTTGTTTCAGTTTCAGAGTTGTGGATTTGGCTTTATGTTGGTCAAAACAGGACGAGGCAGGCTTTATCAGTGATCATTTCCAGTGGCAGAGTACCACGAGAGGGACCATGTTGAGGCTTCTGATCATTGTGGCCTATTCTTCCTCTGTCTTTATTTACTGCACTGGCACACTGAGCACACACCGTGGGACCAACTGAGAGAAGAGGAGTCAAACGTTGAGCAAACGTATTTGGTTCTTCCTGTAGTGCTTCTCTCGTCTGTCAAACTTTATTCATGACAGTATACCGCTATAAACCTTTTACATTTCTGCAAAACCGCGGATATGATGGCGGCATTTGGTCAAAGAAAGTGCCGCAGTTCAACAAGAGACACACAGAACGTAGCATATATCGATCAGCCGTTTTTGAAAGTTACGTGGTATAATAACCGGTATAACAATTTAAAAGTCCACCATGTGTGGGTTGGGGGTTGTGGGGGATCGGTAAAAAAAAACACACAGGACCCGTGTGAAGCTAAAAGTTATCTCAGGTAGACATTACTCCACTATTTTTTTTTACATAGCAAATACTTGTTTTTCTTCTATATTAATGCACTGAATCCTGCATATTGCACCGTTACCCAAGTAGTTCCACATGGCATTGTGCGTGTCTCCAAGCTTGATATGAGGCTGATTTGAAATGTGTTTTTGATTCAGTGACATCACCATTCCAAAAATTGTTCTTGGTATGTAAAGCATCAGTTGACTCAAATGACAGAAAGTCATTTTGAGACATGCTAGTGGCATTGATCTATGGGAGGCAGTGTCTGATGGTTGGTCTCTCCCAGGAGATTGAAGCCTTTGACAGCTGGTCAAATTCTTCACTTATCTTGTGAAACATCTTCACACTTATCTCATGGATCGGCACGACATTTTGCACCACAAACTGTTTAATTGACCTCCAATATTTGGGGGATGACATTATTTTCAGTAACAGATTTGATCAAAACCTGTACGGATAAATCCAAAACTATCTTCATGACCAAACACTACTGGGGGTTAAGTGATAAAAAAACATTTTCTTTTCATGTAATTTGGGCAAACTGACCCACTAAACTAAAGTGCTTTAAAAACCTAAGTCCCTCTTTCTTTACATCTCCATCTCATCCTTTTTTAAAAATCTGCATTTACCTGGCCGCACCTCATCCACATCCCTCTGATGTTTACCCCCAGTGCAAAGTCAACTGCTGAGTCCCACCCGCCTGCAGAGGGGGCTTCCTCTCAGCAAACAGAGCCTCTTCTGTGTCTGAAACCGGAGAGGTCAGCATTCCTCTGCCCAGGCCTCAAATAAAGACCCGAATTCTATGCAGAAATAATCCAGATTCCTGCTGGGACTGCAACCTATCCTGTGGCAGCTGCCTCCCTCAAGGTGGACAATCAGTGTCTTTGTCAAGCCAAGCTGATGCCAAGAGGCTGAGCACCGGAGCAGGTCCACCCGGCAGCCCTCAGTCTGGCGGAGCTGTGCAGACGGGTCTGTCTCGCTGTGGAAACACTGGATTATTTTTGGACAAATTTTATCATCAATACTGGATTATCAGTGTTTTCTTGATGGATTATGGATGTTCAAAATCCTCCTTTTCAAATTGGATTCAACAGCCCTCAGGAAACGTCACAGGCTCTTTTGGGACAGCCCGACACCAACGAGGAGTCTCCACCGACAGAGGTAGGCCACGATTATTCATCTTTTCTGACCAAGACACAGTACATGCTGCCGAGTGAGGATTGTGGGATATGTTTTCAGACCAGAGAGGAGGCTCACTATTTTATTTTTTTTTTTAAACAATGACGTAAGAGATTTTCAGATTTCAGGCAAAATGTCACAATGCATGTCAAAGTATTTGCCGATCCAGTGTGAGCTTTTTAAGCAAACAGGGACACCAAAAGACCTGATTTAGCTCCTAAAACAAAGTAAAGACCCTCTCTGGGATTTGTCTCAGTTGCTTCTTTTTCTCTTCTCCACACACTCTCTGTCTCAGTTAGGATCAGTCCTTCCAAGAGACTTAGCAAGCATTTCTGCGATTGTTTGCATTAATGTCACAGATCAAGTCACTGTATAACTGGTGAACCAGTAAAAAAATTAAAACCTGGTGTAATTCAAGTCCTAGGGGGGCAGTCAGTGAGTCAATCAGGGAATTAGGCAGAATTCAAATGTCAGACCACTTAACATGCTTTATTTCAGCATTCAAAATAATTAAAAACATCTCAATTTATTATACATATACAAAATAGGTACAGATCCTTGTGGTGTTTCCCCCCATGGGTGTCTGCATTATCTCACAAACTCCTTCCTTTCTGTGCATTGTTTGAAAAAAATAAAATAGTAATCCAATTTTTCTTTTTGTTGAGAAAATTCAACCTTCGCACAAGAAAACAAGAAACAAACTACAACAGATGTGTGGATGAAGGGGGTGGGGGGAGGATTTGGTTGGAGGACAGAAAAGGTGGAGATTGGGGTTTAAAAACATGAAACCAAAAAGTGTGAGAAGAAAAGATGCGGATCCGCACGTCACTTTGAACTCAGAGCTAGAGGCTCGAGTGCCAGCGTGACCGTGGCTGGAAAAGAGAGAAGAAGTCTGTCTCATTCTGGGCGCCAAGAGTAAATAAAAAACGGTGGTTTCGTTTTAGCACCAAGAGGGCCCTGCCACGCCAGAGTGACCGTAACACTACACAACAGTATAGCCGTACTGGACAGCCAGGAGACCTCAAAGAAAGTATAGCACCTTTAATTTTAGCTGTATCCGCTTCTGCTAAAGTGTTGGTAAAAGTCGACTACCCCAATGACCGCAGGCTTCACTTCACAAACACTGGGCCCCCCTTTTTTTATACAGCTGATATCCCTTGCTTTTCTGAGGTAGCCAGAGGATTTTTCTTTCACAACTTTCAAAAAAGAGGTTGGAACCCATGTTTCTCTGCTGGTGGTTTTAATGTGACTTTTCTTTAAAAAAAAAGAAAAAGTAAGTAATAGAAAGGAACAAACAAGAAAGCAACCACAACAACAAACAAATCACAACAGCCACAAAATCAGCGGATGAGGAGGGGGGAGTTTTCAGTGTTGTCTGTGCCAGGTTGACGGGGTAGGGGGGGCGGGGGGCAGAACAACAGAGACAAACATGGCTGTCAGTTTCACCGTTTATTCATCAACACCTGAAATGTGGTACAAAGCAATTGGGTTCTGTCTGTTGGGGACTGTCCTTTCATTCCTCTCGCCACAGTGGTGTATAAAAATACAAAAGTCACCTGTGTGTTTCTGTAAACTCCAGAGAAGCCTGGTATGGCTGGATGAAGAGGGGAAGTCAATTTTTTTTACACTTTACAGAAGCATATATTATTTTCTTGTTGCCAGTGAAACAAAATGTCTTCTCTACAGGATCCTTGGTGTTGGTGATGGTAAAAAAAAACAAAAAAAAAAAACAAGAGTCAGAAACGAAAAAAAAAGTAGTGGTCCCAAATGCGGCGATGCAGATTCCGCCGCATCGCCGCCATCTTGTTGGAGTGCAGGTTTTAGGCAAAGTGGACCATCAGAACAATGGCCGAATGGAAATTCGTAGAATCAGGAACGAGGGGTCAGATTTTTCAGAAAAATGGCATTAGAGAAATGTTTTGGTGGGCTTTTTTTTAGAGAGAGATGACTGCTAGAAAAATTAAAACACACACACTCACACACACAACAACAATTTCAAGTCCAGATTTCTCTTTTTACAAGAAACAGACGGGTCCAACTTCAAGGCCAAACTCTTGGTCTGGAGCACCAACGTCCATAGGAGCGATATCAATGATGGGCAGGCGAGATGTTTTCGATGTCTTGTAGTCGATGACTGTCTTGCCCCATGTACCGGTGTGTGACTGGAGGGAGAGAAGAAGAAAGGGGAGTTAGGGTCACCATTCAAATTGGCCGCTGCATGGTTAACACAGGACATTTGAAAATGTCTCCAATTCTGCCTGAACTTTTGTTCAAATCCCATGAACAGAAAGACTAGCTACAGTAGCTATTATGCATGTTTGAAACCACTGAGTCTATACCATCAGGGAAAGTATAAGCTTGCTGAATTGTGACCTACTGGTCATTCCTAACTTTGAAGATTTAGCATTTGAAGCTCACTCAGCTGTCAGTGGGATTGGCATGAGAGTGTCAACTTAAGTTTTTCTCACCGTGCATCCGTCTTCCAGGACGCTGTAGGTGAAGCGGCTGTTGCCCTCAGCTCTGATCTCGATCTCGTTGGAGCCCTGGAGGAGCAGGGCCTTCTTGAGGTTGCCGACGGTGGCGTCCATGTAGGCGACGCTGTTCTTGCAGTGGTAGGTGACGTTCTGGGTTGCCTCAGTGGACATGAGACGCAGGAAAGTCAGCTGGATGTTGACATCCTCTGGCTTGGAGCCCTCACTGCCATACTCGAACTGTGTAGGAAAGAGGAAGGGGGAGATGTTACTGACTGAACTGGAGGGACAAGAAGCGGAGAGGTAAGGTTGAGTTGAGGAATAGTAGGAAACAAAAGAGGGGCGAGAAGTGGAAATGAGAGGAGGGGTAGAGGAAGGAGGAATTGAGAGGGAAATTGACCTAAGAGAAGGCAAGTAGGCATGGATTTGTAGCAAGGAGTGAGGAAGTGCTCAGTTTGGTTGGTTCAGCATGTTTACCTGGAAGCCTTCGGTCATAGCCTCTCCGAACCAGACGTGCTTCTTCTCCTTGATATTCTTGCTCATGTACCAGTTCTTCTTGGCGACCTCGGGCTGAGTTGGGGTTACGCAGGTCTCTCCGGTCTCCATGTTGCAGTAGACCTTGATGGCATCATGTGTGCAGCCCTGGTCAGGGTCGATGAAGTACTCGCCTGGAGAACAAGGAGTCAGGACAGGAAAAGTTTAGAAAAACCCGGTATGCTAGTTTAGATTCTCCAATCCTCCTCTACACTTGGATTGATCAACGGCTGTCGGGTAAAAACTCACCGCTCTTCCAGTCAGGGTGGCACATCTTGAGGTCGCGGCAGGTTCTGGCGGGGTTCTTGCGGGTTCCGTCAGGGCTGCGGATCTGCTCGATCTGCTGGCTCAGGCTCTTCAGGGTGCCGTCCACCTCCAGGTCGCGGTCACGGAGAACGTTAGCGTCATCAGCACGGAACATGCGGAAGGGATCGGGGGCCTTCTCCTGAGGCTGGGAAATGAAGCCGAGGTCGAATCCGCCACCGGGGGCACCTGGTGCTCCGGGAGGTCCAGGAGCTCCTGTAGGTCCCTGAGAGTGAAGAAGGGCAAGAGGAGGAAGAGAAGAAGTTGATTATTTCAGTGCTTGTAGAGGCTTTGTGGTGTGCCTAGCAAACCACAATCTATATTTTCCCTCAGTTAGAAGACACAAAGTAAATAGACAGAGGAGTGGATGGATAGTTAGACAGCCAGACTTACAGCGGGTCCCATCTCTCCAGAACGTCCACGAGGTCCAGGAGGTCCACTGGGTCCAGGCAGGCCAGTCATACCGTCCTTACCAGCAGATCCAGCAGATCCAGATGGGCCCTGCAAATAGCATAAAGGGAAAGTCTCTGAATGTCAAAGTCCCTCCAAACACTGACAGATAGACCAAATATTAAAATGCAAAACATCTAAAACTACTCCAAGCACTAAAATATTGTGTGGTGTGTTAACTCACTCTAGGTCCAGCGGGTCCAGCAGAACCAGAGGGTCCTTGCTCTCCAGAAGATCCCTATGGGTTCAGAACAGAAACAGTAGTTAGAAATAAAGTCTGTACGTTGTTTATGTTATATATGTGTAGATGTGAGTGTGAAGCGACATACAGATTGTCCAGAAGGTCCCTGCATGCCAGTGAATCCTCTGTGTCCCTTCATGCCTCTCTCTCCAGCCTCTCCACTCTCTCCCTTGTCTCCGCGAAGTCCAGGAGCTCCCTGTTAGGGGTAAGAAGGGGATGAAGAGCATTGTTTTGCCTTTGGCCGTTCCATCTATTCTATTGTTTGTTTTTATTAATGGCGCAAAGATTGTTACTTACTGAAGGGCCACGAGGTCCAGCAGGGCCAGCAGATCCAGAGGGGCCACTAGGTCCCTGAAGCATACAAAAAACAGTTTGATGTAAAGGCAGGTTGCAGCGAAACACAATCTATGCTTACACCTACAGTAGCTCTATTATTAATGGCTGTTTCCCATTGACATGTACTGTACTGTATACTGAAGATATTTTCATAAAAGCACAGTGATTAAACTGGTTTTGGTGTCACTCACAGTCTCTCCACGGTCACCGTTCTTTCCAGCGGGTCCAACGGGTCCGGGGGCACCAGAGGGT